ATGACTTGCACTCGTCCTGACCTCGCGTACCCTCTTGGCCTTCTGGCTCGCTACGTGGCTCCTGGTCGGCACCGAAAGGTGCACATGGATGCTGCTAAGAGGGTACTGCGCTACTTGTGCAGTACATCAGGCATGGGGCTCGTGCTTGGAGGGAGGAGCTCAGTTGTTCTCACTGGGCACTCAGACGCTTCTTGGGTTGACGACCAGACTACTCAGCGGTCGTCACAGGGTTACACCTTCAGCCTTGGCTCTTGCTCAGTTTCTTGGCGTTCTACACGTTCGTCTTCAGTTCTCAGCTCCAGTTGTGAGGCTGAGATCTACGCCACAGCCATGGCTGCACAGGAGTTACGCTGGCTCACCTACCTGCTGACCGACTTGGGAGAGCGGCCTCGTTCTCCTCCAGTGCTGTACGTCGACAACAAGGCAGCCATTGCCTTGTGTGAGGAGCACAGACTGGAGCACAGAACGAAGCACATCGCTCTGCGTTACTTCCTGGCTCGAGAGTTGCAGCAGCGTGGTCAGCTTCGTCTGTGTTACGTGGCTACTCGGGCCAACACTGCTGATATATTCACCAAGGCACTTCAGTCTGGTGATCATCAGCGTTTCTGCACTTTGCTAGGGCTTGTGCCCACTTTTCCTCACTTGCTGTAGGCTTTGCTTGTACTGTGATCTATATATATATACCTGCATGTTGCCTTGCTAGGTAGAGATCACTGTGCTGTTTGTGTTGCATATATGCCTCTACATGTGAACTGGCCTTGTGGCCCTTTGCTTGTGCTCAGAGTGTGTGGTGACGTTGTGATCCACCCTGAGCTTGCTTTGCCTTTAGGGGTAGTGGGGTAGCCAATATGGGATACAACCCCGTTTAGGGTTTCATACTTGTACCCAACTCTTCCATAGTTCATTCATTGCTGTCTCTTGATTCTGACAGATTCTGTTCGCCAGCACCTTCGCCAGTAATTTGTAGAAAAGGCTCAGTAGTGTGATCGGCCGATAATTGCCCACATCGTCTCTGCTTCCTTTTTTTGTGCAGAAGAATCGTAACCGCCGTCGTGAAAACCTCCGAGAGCACGCCCGTCGACTCAAAGTCTCGGATCTCCCTCATCACCGCCGGGCCCAGCAACCCCCAGTTCCTCTCAAAAAATTCTTTCGGCAGGCCATCCTGTCCCGGGGCTTTCCCCGACGGTAAGCTCTTGAGCGCCGCCTTCACCTCCTGCTCTGACCAACCCCTGTCTAACTGTAAGCGGTCGCTCTCCTGCAGCACCCTTCCTTTTTCAATCGGCCATGGTTCCCCGGGAGAAGGCGTCGGCGACAGCGCGTACACACTATAAGGGTGCATACAAGCATTGACAGTAGTAACTGTCTATAATAACATCGTTTTGAGTGGATTCAGCTCACCTCTCTCAGAAACACTACAGAATTCGCCTTTTAGGGGGTATCTAGGTGGTACGATTCGCCAGGTACGCGGTCCAAATTGTTGCGTCTGGGTGGAATAGACGATTAACAACGATTACCGCGTTCCACCGTGTGGAACCGTTCTGAGCCACTAAGAATGAACGAACTATATAAATGTGCGGTTTGGTCACTCCCCAAGGCCTTCCCGTTTCATATGAGATGAGAGTCAAATCAGTTGACCATTTGATTTGAGCACTTTGATGGCGCAAAGGGCGGGCCCTTGGGAGTTCGTTTATTGTTCATGCATAAACGTACTTTCAGGCAGGTGAGTTGCGGTTCCAAGTGGTTAAGCGAGAAAACCGCTCTGGAGTGCACAATATTGTACTCAACCGCTTCTGTTGAACTGAATATTTGAAGTTTCCGGGCCTGCCCAAACGGCGAGGGAACGCGTTCATGCGCATCAGGTCGCATTCGAAGAATTGGGCCGAATCAACTTCGATTATTGCTGATCGCACGAATTTCACTATTCCAAGCCAAGCACCAATTTCAAGCATGATATGCAAGCACTTGATTCCTCAGACCACCATCCCCACACCTACTATAGTACAGGAGACGGAACAACGATCGATCAGAGCCGGAACTGCAGCTGGCGCGTGCCATCATTCATCCTGATAATTGCATTGATAGCAAATGCTCGTTTACTAGGAGACTCTTGTGATGCGAAGTGTCAACGTGGTCACCTCACTGGAACTCTTTTCCAATCGCGACGATGCGGCGTGTTTGTGAGGCGAGTTCGGCGCTGTGATCGCGTCGCGTCCGTCGCCGCCTGACATAACTAAGATCCTGATCATCCGACAGAATCTAGCGGCGCGTCGCATTCGCGAAGCCCTTCTTTCCACTCCCCGATCGTAGCCCAAGTAAAGTTGGCCCATGTGAAGACGACAACAGTGGGAGCGCGGCCATAACTGGAAGAAGGAACCCACCCTATAGAGGCACCCTGAATCCATATGGATTGCGATGACACAACTAACGAGAGACCCTCGCGGCTGTCTGCGGAGTCTGCGCAAGAAGCAAGCGGTTCCCTCAGGCTGGTCGAATGGATTCAACTCCAAGACGGAAGGAACGATGCTGATTCGCGCGATAACGTAACGGTCACTGTCACGGTACCGACGGACTCTGCAGACGAAGGCTCGGCTAATGCCGAGAGAGAGTCGCCGCCGCGTGAACTGGAGACCGGCCCGAGCGGCGGGTTTTGGAGCAGCCTGTTACGCGGCGTAGCAGGCGCCGCATGGCGGCGCATAAGTCGCGCCGCCCGTTCGCCTGTACCGCGGGGAGACGACCAGCGTGGCGGCAGCGAGATCTGCGGAGACGGCCCCCCGCTGAAATGTGGCGGCACCGCGGCCACTGGCTGCGGCGTCAGCATCAGAATCGGTACCGACTTTAATCAATCATCTGCGCTGCTACGGAATGACTCGTCGAACTCCGGGAAATCGGATAATAGCAGCAGCCGCAGTATCAGCAGCCGCAGTAGCAGCCGCGGCAGTAGCCGCAGCAGCACCCGCGACAGCCGCAGCAGCGGCAGCAGCATCAGCAGCAGCAGTGGATCGGAGTCATCAGACAGCGAGAGCGAGAGTGACGACGATAGCAGCACGGCGACGGAGGAACTACTAGAGACGAAGAGCTCCCTTCGAAAGGAGGATTGGCCCAAGGGTTTGCACAAAGAGGCACATGAAGCAGCGCAAGCAGCGGTGAAAAAGTCAAATGCAGAGGAGCCGTTTCCCGCGGTCAACGCGGTCTTGACTGCTCATCCTGCCCATCCAGCTGCTCTCCAAGGTGCGTTGACCAGGTCAACTTGACACTACAAGGTGCGTTGACCAGGTCAACTTGACACTACAAGGTGTGTTGACCAGGTCAACTTGACACTACAAGGTGCGTTGACCAGGTCAACTTGACACTACAAGGTGCGTTGACCAGGTCAACTTGACACTACAAGGTGTATTGACCAGGTCAACTTGACGCTAGGTGCGTTAACCAGGTCAACTAGACACTACAAGTTTTCTCAATCCTTTCTTTTCTTTGTCCGCCTTGCCAGCAGCTTTAACACCGCCCTCTCCCCCACTTTCCCACCTTCTCCGTGCTAAAACTCTCTAAATTCCTTCTCCTCTTCCAGACACCTCTCCTCTCCCCGCCTTGTTGCCCTCTGCGGCAGCCTTGTATCTAACCAAACGTTGAAATGCCTCTCTTATCGACTCCCTTTCTCTCCTGCCTTTCTACCTCTGCAGCCCTGTATTGGACCTACGCATTCAATTGCTTCGGCGAGCAGTCGTGGCGGTTCGCCAGAGCAGCCCTGCTCTCGTTATTGCATCACTCGTTACTGCCAGTGGCTGTAGCAAGCTTCACTAGCCGGGTGAGCACATCCTCCGGCACACACACGTGCTCGTGTGCTCTCCGTCCGTCCCCTTTTTCCAGCTCAAAACCCAAACCCCTAGACTCTTCAAAGCACATCCATCTCATTTCCCACCCTCCTCCCTCAACCTTCTCTCTCTTTACACTCCTCCGCTTGTGCTTTCCTCCGCCCCCCATCCCCGCTCATGCCCTTCTCTTCCGTTGCGTCTCCTTCATCCCCTCTCCTGCACCAGCTGGTGGCATTTGTGGCATGCCCTTTGGTGGGTAGCCTCATGGATTCAGCTCCCAGAGTGCGTGCGTTCAGCACCATCGTCCTTGCTCAGGTGCGCATGACCGTTCAGCACATCATGATTGCACCATCATGATTTCACCATCATGATTGCACCATCATGATTGCACAATCACGATTGCACCATCATGATTGCACCATCATGATTGCACCATCATGATTGCACCATCATGATTGCACCATCATGATTGCACCATCATGATTGCACCATCATGATTGCACCATCATGATTGCACCATCATGATTGCACCATCATGATTGCACGATTGCACCATCACGATTGCACCATCATGATTGCACCATCATGATTGCACCATCATGATTGCACCATCATGATTGCACCATCATGATTGCACCATCATGATTGCACCATCACGATTGCACCATCATGATTGCACCATCATGATTGCACCATCATGATTGCACCATCATGATTGCACCATCTCCCACCATTCCTCGATCAACACCTCCTCTCTCCACCCCTTCCTTCTCCTGCCTCCATCTCTTACCTCCCTCCCCCCTGCTCCACGTTCACAGTCAACGCCTTACATCTCGCCTTCAGGAGACTTTTGCGATATCTTAAAATCTCCCTGCTCCACATATCTTAAAAAAATCTCAGAGACTCCATCGCCCTCACCTCTCTCCCCTGCTCCACAGTCCACAGCCATCATGGTAGCAGCAGCGATCGCGATACATGCCTTACACATCTCGCTTTCCCTGCCGCCGCCGCAGCAAGGTGACTTTTGAGTCGACTCAGTAGTTATCTCCTGCCTCCTTCTCTCACCTCTCTCCCCTGCTCCACAGTCCACGGCCATCATGGTAGCAGCAAGGCGACTTTTGAGTCGACTCAGTAGTTATCTCCTGCCTCCTTCTCTCACCTCTCTCCCCTGCTCCACAGTCCACAGCCATCATGGTAGCTGCAGCAGCAATGATACACGCCTTACATCTCGCCTTCCCTGCCGCCGCCGCAGCAGCAGCAGCAGCAGCGCTGGGTGCTGCTGGAACAGCTGCCTCGTCAGCTGCCTTGTCAGGTGCCTCGTCAGCTGCCTTGTCAGCTGCCTCGTCGGCTGCCACATCAGCCGCCGCGTCGGTGCTGTCTTCTGTCCCTGCGACAGCAATGCTACGGCAGGGATGGTTCATTGTGCTGGTGGTGGCGGGCTGTGTGGATAAGCTAATGGGGCTGGCTTCAGGCGTCGCATTTGAGAATGACTGGGTCCTCGTGGTGAGCCCACACGTCCCTACCTACCTACCTACCTACACGTTCAGTTCATTCAGACATGTGCACACATTTTGCCACACGTCCCGACTCCCAACACATGCACGCACATGCCAAATCTGCTCACACGTGCTCTCTTCTTCCTTGCTTCACTCTGATGGCCCCTCTCTTCCGTTTCATCCCTCCGCCTCCCTCTCGTCCCCCCTCTCTCTTCCACCCTCTCTCTTCTTCCCTCTCTCTCCCTCCCTCTCTCCTATCCCTCTGTCTCCATGCACACATTGCAGCTGGTTGGGCCCCATCGGCCTGTGCCTCTGGCAACTGCCAACGCCATGCTCAGGCGGGTGGAGCAGAGCTGTGAGGTGAGGGAAGACGAGTTTGGTAACTGGGTATCTTATCCTGTTGCTTGTGCGGCGTTGCTAATGCGGTATTGAAATGCTGCTGATGAGGCCAACCGATCCTGTTGCTAGTGCGTGACGAGCGTGAAACAGATCCTGACGAGTGTGAAACAGAGCTGTCACCATGAGGGGGACATGCCCCCACTGTGCGCCCGCCCACCGTTCCCCCCACTGTGCACCCACCATGCCTTCTCCTTGCTCTCCCTTCCTCTGCTCTTTCTTATTCCCCCTCCTTGCCCCTCGCTCCACGCCACGTGCAGGTAGCAGCAGCGCTCATCTTTGGATGGCTCATTGCAGCTTGGGGCCCGCTCGTCTGCGCCAAAGCATGCCTCGCCCTCGTTGCACTCTCCCTCCCTGCCATGGTGCGTGCCTGCCACCCCACCTGCTCACATATCCACATAACCGCATGCGCACATACCCACACACCCACTCACCCACACACCCACATACCCACATACCCCTCCCCCTCCCCCTTCCTTTCCCCCTCCCCCTTCCCCCCATGCAGCTTGCTCTCACTTCCCTCACCAGCTATCTGTCCAATGGAGCCATCAGTCAGTCTCGCGACCGTCACTTAGGTTGACACCAAGTTCGTTAAGGTTGACACCAAGATCATTTCGGCCGACACCAGGATCGGTTCGGTCAACACTAGGGTCGTTAAGGTTGACACCAGAGTCGTTCCAATCTATATCGACACAAGGGTCGATCAAGTCAGCAACAGGTTCATTTCGCGTGGCACCATCTTTGCCACAGGATTGGGCCCTAAGTGTCAATTACAGTACTGTTACTGTTGCTGCTGCTGACGATGGTGATACTGCTGTTCCTGCTGCTGATGATGAGGAGGAGCAGGCAGGACCCGCATGTGGTATTCCTGCTTCTGCACCACGGGAAGTATCACAGGGGGGCATGGTAGCCGTTGTGGCAGCCCCAGCAGCAGCAGAAGCAGCAGCAGAAGCAGCAGCAGAAGCAGCAGCAGCAGCAAGCACCGCAAAGGCAAATGGAGAACCAGCAGGCCGGATGGGTACCGCATTACGAATGGCAGAGGCGGCAGCATCAGCAGTGGGGAGAGCGGCGGGCGAGTTGCGGCAGGTGGTTGAGGCAGCAAGGGAAGGGTGGCGCTGTTATGTGCAACAGCTGGTGATGCCTGCGAGTATGGCGTATGTGCTGCTGTGCTTCAATGCTGTGCTGGCGCCTGGTGGGCTCATGACCTCCTACCTCACGCTCCATGGTGAGTGGGCATGCACGCTCGCACGCATGACATATGCACATGCGCGCACACACACACACCACGACACACGCACATATACGCACGCACCGGAGCGCATTCCTCTCACAAACCAAGCTGTAGCCCAAAATCCGGAAACCCGAAACCTTAAACCCGTTAATCCCTAATCTCGGCAGGGGTGCACATGGGGGTGATAGGCGAGTTCAGTAGCGCGTGTGCCGCCATGGGATTCGCGGCTACGTTCGTGTCTCCGCCACTCGTCGCTCGCCTCGGCGTTCTGCAGGTGCGGTGGTAGAGGGAGAAGCAAGGGGTGCTGCTGGGAGAGGGAAGGGGAAGGGGTCCGGGCGGTGGGTGCGAGATGAACAAGCACGCAGCTGCCTACGGCAGGCGAGATAAAACACTTTTACTGTAAAGTTGAACGCTCACGCTCACTTGCTCCTCGCCCTCTCTCGTGTGCTCTCTCTCCTCCTCCGACTCCTCCTCCTTTCCTCCGCATCTTCCCGTGGTTGAGAAACGACATTAACACACATCCTCCACGTCCCCTCTTCTTTATCTTCTATCGCCCTCCCTCCCCCCATCCGTCTTTCTCTCTCCTCTCTCTCCCTCCCAGGCTGGCAGTGCGGCGCTGCTCTTTCAATCGCTACTGGTCTTCCTCGCGCTTCTCACCTTCTCGTCAATCTCGTTTGCGCCGCCTTCTCTGCAGCAAGGCCTGCTGCTGATCTTCCTCCTGCAAATCGTGAGTCTGCTACTAACGAGGAACTCCGTACTGCAGCACTTCCCATCGTGCTATTCTCATCGAGGCAATTCGTAACGCGCCGATTTCCTATCGCAACAACTCTTATCGCGGCGACGGTTTTAGCAGGCTTGGTGGAAAATTCTATCAAAAGCGCCTAATCAACCCCGTTCCCCACCTCGCCGCCACCCCTATTCTCCTCAGGTGCTCTCCCGTGTGGGCAACTGGACATTCGAAATTGTCGGCGCGCAAGTCATCCAGACGGCTGTCCCCGCCGCATACGCTAACTCCTTTGGCTCCACCGAAATGGCACTAGCAAGCCTGGCAGAGCTTCTCATGTTTGCGCTCGCCATCGTTCTCCACGATCCAAGGTACTTCGGCGCGCTCGTGCTCATGTCCGTTGCTGCCGTCTTCGCCGCGGCTGCGCTCTACTGCTCCTGGCTGGCTTGGCCGGACTCGAGGCTGGGGGAGGTGTTTCCGAACCAGCCGGAGGCTTGGTGGAGAAAGGTGTTTTGTGGGGAAACAAAGTTGGAAGAAAAGGAGAGGGTGGAAAAAGCTCGGTTGGGTGATCAAGAGATGGAGATTGGACGAAGCACATGGAAGGGGAAGCCTTTGGGGGTGAAGAAGTCGTGCAGTGGTGGTGATCAAAACATGATTTTGATGATTGATCAAGGAAAGGTAATCGAGGCAAGCGAGGAGGCGCTAATTGCTACTGCAGGGTTTCGGGTTTGAATGAACTTTGAACATTGATGGGTTTTTTGGATGGCAAATGTTCAAAGGTTGGGGTGGAGCATCTCCGATATAATCCACATCGGTTACTCAGGCATGTTATTTGATCAAGTCCCCTCTACTTCAGAACGCTCTGAGGGAGTTTATGTATTGTAGCACCTTGTCTGTAATATGCGTGGGTCGGATTTAATGGGTTCTTACTTGGTAATTCGTGATTGTGGGTTAGTTTGTAGATTGGTTTCGAGTTAATCATTGCGGGCTGGCCGAGATTATATTCGTAATGCTGTGTGTTGTGTCATGTGAAATATTAATTTCACTTCAATAACCTTGAGAGTACAGAGTTGTGCTTTTTAACCACTCTTAGAAAAGAAGTGGATAATTCGCCTTTTAGGGGGGATTCAAGTGGTACGATTATCCTGGTACAGGGTCCAATTCGTTGGGTCTTGCGTGAATTTGACGATGAACTATAATTACCGCTTTCCACCGTGTGGAGCCGTCCTGAGCCACGAAGCATGAAGGAGTTATATATGTTCGAGCTGGGTATTCACCAAGGCCTTCCATTTTATTGAGTCAAACCACGTGACCATCAGGAAAGCGTTGAGACGCTAAGGGCAGGTCCTGAAAAGTTCGTTCACGGATAAATTGACCCTTTAGGGTAGTGAGTAGCGGTATTAAGAGGTGAAACGAGGCTCTGGAGTGTACAATATTGTACTCAACCGCTAACCGAATGATAAGAAGTTTCGGGACCTGCCCAAATGGCGAGGGAACGCGTTCACGTCCGTCATGTCACATTTGCATAAGAGGGGCGCATCGACTTGAATTATTGCGGATCGCACGAATTTCACAAGAATTCCAAGCGGAGCACCATTTTCAAGCGTGAATGCAAGCGCTCGACACTCGGAGATGATCGTCCCATCCCCCCACCACCAACTATAGTTCAGAGGACGACCGGTCAGAGCGGGTGACTCATCCTGATCATTGCATTGATAGCAGATGCCTGTTTCTTAGAAAACTCTTGTGAGGCGAGGAGTCGATGTGGTCACCTCACTGGAACCCTTTTCCAATCGCGACGAGGCGTGTTAGCGAGGCGAGTTCGGCGCGGTGATCTGTCGCGTCCGTCGCCGACTGACATAACTTGAATTCTGATCGTCCGACCGACGCGGCGCGGCCCATTCAGGAAGCCCCTCCTCTAATCCTGGGGATCGCCATGGATTGCGATGGCACTACTAACGAAAGATCCTCGCGGCTGTCTTCAGAGTCCACGCAAGAAGCAACATCCCAAAATTGAGATCGAGGGGGTTGGGGTACCGAGGTGGGGGGTGGGTACTTGCAACCCAGGGACAGAGTGGGTGCACTGTACGCGCGGAGTAGCTACACTGTAGTCCCCCCACCTCGCGCCAACCATGCTTGGCTTTCGTGCCAGAATATAGGCTCGGGACAAAGCACAACCACGGAAGTGGCTCCCTTGTCTTGGCTCTGCATTCGGGGCGAGTCTGGAATGTTCTAGCCTACAGTGTAGGCTGGGTTCCAAACCTACAATGGGTCTACCAAGCCTGTACTTCGGTGTAACTTTGTCGAAATACTCAGTATAATAACCACACTTTACAACCTTATTTGTATGAGAAGCGCGTTTTGATTGCTCGGAGTTTTACACAAAGCGTAACAAAAAGATGCGAAAACGTACCACTCGCACCAAAACAGCAGCTAAATCGGATTTCGGCGCATCTTAGGCCACAAAATAAACACGAACCGTTGACGGTTCAGATCGAATCTGAGCTCTCAGTTAGAAATTGTGAAGTTTTGTGCAGGTTGGAATTTTATCCGTCGATCAGAAATGCCTTGAACGGTTAGGATCAGTTATGTTTCAGGCTGGTAAAGAATTGAAACCGTTTATCTATGTTTTACTGGACGGTCAAGATCTCAAGTCTCAAAACTCAATCCAATTCACTAAGGTTGGAATTAAAACCGTTGATTCAAAGTTGGTTGATCGTCAACCGTCGATTCTTTGCCAGGCTGTGCTGCAGATTTCTGGTGGCTAGATGAAACTTTCCAGCCGTCGATCCTGCTGTCATTTAAAGGTCACGATTGAGAGATGAAAGTAGTTGGCAGAAAATTATGCTAGCTTGTCTCCGATTGGTTCAAAGTTCCATCCACCCCAGATTTCGTCCAAGGCACACACACGTACCTGAGTATATCCAACACCCAACTCACTTTCCGTCCATTCATTTCTTAGCTTCCAGACAGCTCTTGTGTAGTTCCTCGCTCTTCACTTTCACCTGCCAGACCATGCTCTGGTTTTCTACCTTGAGCGCTGCCGCTTGGTTTAGTTTTCATGTTCCTATGTCGTCACCCCGTAGACCTGCCGTCGACGTGTTGCCATCAGCTATCCGCAGATTGGATTATGGGCTGGATTTTTAGTAGGATGTTACTTTGGCTGTCGCTGATACTAACACTACGATGAAGCCTCACTTGTCTTTTTTTTGCAGGCGACTGGTTAATAGAGGCCAGCGCATCTCGCGTGAAGTATTTTATTATGAAAGGTGGGAATTGTAAGCACCCAATTCTATCACTGGCAGATTAATGATACGACGCTTTTGTTTCAGTCTTTGCAGGCTACATTGGCTCCAGAGCATAGCGTACGAAATGTCTTCGCAGGTTTCCTAATGGCGTGCTACTTTAGTTGGGTGTCTGCCCTGCGAACGTTGCGATTTGATGGTGCCGTCCCAGGATGGATACTCGGTTGGTGCCAGGAACGTTAATGAGCGTGCATGTGTTTTTGTGTTGTTTCTTTATAATATAGTGGACATTTGAACACCATTAAAATATTATGCACTTTCGACCGTCAGCTTGGGTAGGGAATGCAGCCGTCATTGTGCATGGGTTGCTAGTGTACGTATAGTAGAGACATTGTCCGTACATACCATGGTCAATGTAATGATAGAGTAAACGCAATGTTTGTTCTTATCTCAATTAGTATATGCTGACTTCGTGCATGGGTTGCTAGTGTACGTATAATAATGACATAGCGCGTACATACCATGGTGAACGTCTGGATAGAGTAAACACAATGTTTGTACTGTATTGCCGGAACACTAGTACGTGGTATGTAGGAGAACATGTACACACATTGTGTCGGGGAACTTTGTATGCACATTGAATGTTCGATGTGAAACCATTGTAAGAACATTGTCCATTCGAAGGTATTATTTGGGATGAAGCGGTTCCCTTGTCTCCCTTGTCGAATGGATTCAACTCCAAGACGGAACGAACGATGATTATTCGCGCGATAACGTAGCGGTCACTGTCACGGTACCGGCGACTCCGCCGGTGGCTGTAGAAGGTGACTCTGCAGACGAAGGGTCCGCTAATGCCGAGAGAGAATCGCAGCCGCGCGGCTCGGAGTCCCGGAGCGGCGGATTCTGGAGCCGCCTGTTACGTGGCGTAGCGGGCGCGGCATGGCGCGTGAGTCACGCCGCCCGTCCGGCTTTACCGCGGGGAGAAGACCAACGTCTCGTTGGCGGCAGCGAAATCTGCGGGGACGGCCTTCCGCTGAAATTTGGCGGCGCCGCGGCCACTAGCAGCGCGGTCAGCGTCAGAGTTAATACCGACTTCGATCAATCATCTGCGCTGCTGCGGAATGACTCGTCTAGCTCGAGGAATTCGAAAAATAGCAGCCGCCGCAGCAGCAGGAGCAGCAGCAGCACCTCCGGCAGCAGCCGCGGCAGCCGCTGCACCGGCACCAGCAGCAGTGAATCACTCTCATCAGACAGCGAGAGCGAGAGCGATGAGGAAGGCAGCATGGTGACGGTGGCACTAGAAACGGAGGTTACCTCTTCAAAGAAACATCAGGCCAAGGCGGCAGAAGAGTCGCCCTCATTCGACCCGCTTGACTCCGTTGACCCATTTGACTCGAACACGAAGGAGCCATTTCCTGCCGCCTTGGCCGCCCGCCCTGCCCATCCCGCTGCTCTGCACGGTGCGTTGACCAGGTCACGTCCCGAATCTTCTGTCCTTGAATTCAAAACTACAACGGCCAGGAAACCTAACACTCAACAATCGATTTTCCGCAGTTTTCCGCCCAGGCCTTTTTTTCGCGATGAGAGGGTTCGTGATTCCTGTGACTTCTCCTTTGTGTCTTCTCAGAAGGGGCTCTTCTCTCACTTCCTCCCCTCCCTCTCCCTCACTTTCCGTTTTTCTTCTTGCAATTCCCATCGCTTCTCCACCGCCCCTCTCCACTCCGCGCCTTGTCCCTCTGCTGCTGCAGCCTTTAGTAACTCAATCAGTGCCTGGTACCGCCTTCCTTCTCCGTTCCCAAACACTCTTCTGCCTCTCCACCTCTGCAGCCCTGTATTGGACCTACGCCTTCAGTCGCTTTGGCAAGCAGTCGTGGCGCTTCGCCAGAGCGGCCCTGCTCTCGTTATTGTTTCGCTCGTTACTGCCAGTGGCAGTGGCAAACTTCGTTAGCCGGGTGAGAGAACGCGGCTATGCACTCTCACTCCGGCACACGTCATATGCACACGTTCGCACGCAGCACATGCCCTCATCACACGTGCGCATACTCTTCCCACCTTTCCACCCTTTTCTCTCTCATTGCCTCCATCTCTTCCCCTCCCCCCCTTCCCCGTCTTCATCTCCTCTGCATCCTACCTCCTCCATGCAATAGCTGGTGGTATTCGCAGCATGCCCTACCATAGGAGGTCTGATGGACTCAGCACCGAGAGTGCGAGCCTACAGCATTCTCGTCATTGTTCAGGTAAGCATGCAGAGCAGTTTCGTCAAGACCGCTCACATGAGGATGAGAGTGCAGTATGGAGTGGCTTCGTCGTGTGGGGTGGCTTCATCGTGTGGAGTGGCTTCATCGTGTGGAGTGGCTTCATCGTGTGGGGCTACAGTTTCCCCACTATGTTCTCTAACGGCCCTTGCTGATCTGACGCCTTCCGTTCCATCCCCCTTCCCTTCTGTCCTCTTCATGCCTCCAAAGCACACCCCCTCATCTCCCTCCTCCCGCCTTCCCCCTTCCACCCGCCCACTCTCCGTCCTGCCTTTCTCTTCTCCTTCCGCCCCGCGGCCTTTCCCACCACCACCACCTCCTCCTCCTCCTCCTCCTCCTCCTCCTCCTCCTCCTCCTCCTCCTCCTCCTCCTCCTCCTCCTCCTCCTCCTCCTCCTCCTCCTCCTCCTCCTTTTCCTCCTCCTCCTCCTCCTCCTCCTCCACTCGTCTCTCCCTCTCCCCACAGTCCACAGCAACGGTTGTCGCAGCAACGGCCATGATACACGCCTTCCTTATAGCCACTCCTGCAGCAGCGGCGGTAACAGCAGCAGGAGCAGGTGCTGCCGGCAACGCTGCCACATCAGCTGTCGCATCGTCAGCAGCCATGTCAGCGGCCACCTCAGCTGCCACGTCAACTGCCACGTCAGCGCTGTCAGCTGTCCCCGCAACAGCTGTGCTACGGCAAGGGTGGTTCATTGTGCTAGTGGTGGCGGGCTGTGTGGAAAAACTCATGGGGATGGCCGCGGGAGTGGCGTTTGAGAATGACTGGGTCCTTGTGGTAAGCCGCCCACATACTATGCCCAGCCCAGCCCAGCACCTGTGCCGCATGCGTGCTTGTAGACATACCTATGCGCATCCATGTTCGTACATGCTCCCACAAAGCACACACAACCTCTCTCCTTTGCCTCACTTCAGTACATCTTCTCTCCCGTTACCCATTTCCCCACCCACTCTCCTCGCCCATTCTGCCCGGCTCCTCTCCCTGCCCCCTCTCCCCATCCCTCTTCCCGTCTGTCCCCCCGCCCTCTCCTCCCGTGCGCATTTTACGAGTCGACTCAAAAACTGTCCCCTCGCCCTCTCCTCCCATGCGCATCTCTCTCAGCTGGTTGGGGCGCACCGCCCCCTGCCTCTGGCGAACGATTTTTGAGAAATTTCAAGCATCCCTCTTCCCGTGTCTGTCCCCTCGCCCTCTCCTCCCATGCGCATCTCTCTCAGCTGGTTGGCGCGCGTCGCCCCCTGCCTCTCGCGAACGCCAGCGCCATCATGCTCAGGCGGGCGGAGCACCTTTTGAGTCGACGCAAAAGTCAATCCCGTCTGTCCCCTCGCCCTCGCCCTCTCTGCACATGCGCATCTCTCCCAGCTGGCTGGGCCGCATCGCCCCCTGCCTCTGGCGAATGCCAACGCCATGCTCAGGCGGGCGGAACTGAGCTGCGAGGTGAGACAGCCCGTAAACGATTGCACCTGTCTGCTGTGAGCTTGTGAGCTGTGAGCTATGAGCTATGAGCTATGAGCTATGAGCTGCGAGGTGAGACCGACAGCCCATAACGATTACACCTGCTAGCTGTGAGCTGTGAGGGCATGGGCTGTGAGCTGTGAGTACATTTATAGCGCCACCATGTTCCAGGTGACGCCGAGTGAGCTAGCATGCTGCCAGCGCCCGCAGGACCGCAGGTGCCATTTGGGTGTAGCAGAGGTGTGAGGTGCAGGAGGAGAGATGCCTTTCTGTACTGTGTCAGTTGGGGAAGTCGTAGCTTACTACAGGTGGGTAAAACCTGTTCTAGTCAATCCCTGGACCCATTATTAGTGCCACAACGGCAGGGACGGATGGCGTACCCTTTACAGTCAAATGCCTGCCTTCTCTTCCTTGCTCTTCCCTCTGCTACACTCTTCTGGTATCCCAGTCCCCCCCTCGCTCACGCCACGTGCAGGTGGCAGCAACGCTCACCTTTGGATGGCTCATTGCAGCTTGGGGCCCACTGGTATGCGCCAAAGCATGCCTCGCCCTCGTTGCACTCTCCCTCCCTGCCATGGTGCGTATTCACCTTCACCCCAAGAATGCTCAAAAGTATACTCGATAATCGATACTGAGTATTACATTCTGGATTGCTTTTGAGAAATTTCAAAAGCCTCATTGCACTCTACCTCCTGCACATGGAGTAAGCTTATTCTTCCTTCCACCAGCCTGCTTGTCTTCATGTATTCCCTCTCTCTTCCCCTCCCTCCCTCCCCCCTCCCCAATCCACCCTTCCCCACCTCCCTCATCCCCCTCTCCTCCCCCCACCCTCTCCCCCTCTCGCCCCCCCCCCCCCTTTTCTCTCTCACTCGCACACGCACATGCACACGCACGCACACCTCACCCCCCCTCGGCAGCTCGCTCTAACGCACCTGACAAACCATCTCTCCAAAGGAGCCCTAAGCCAGCCTCGGACTCTCGAAACATCCCCTGAATCGACACAAGGATCGTTGCGAACGGCATTTGGGTCGTTTAGGTTAACACCAGGGGATGTTCTGTCAACATCACAATCACTTCGGTTGGCGCTCGGCTCGTTTCGATCGACGCAAGGGTCGATTTGGTCTTCACCAGGATCGCTGCGGTTGACACCAGATTTGCCACGTGACTGTGTTGTTAGCGTCAATTGCGATACTCCTGATGCCGCCGCCGCCGCCGCCGCTACTGCTGCTGCTGCTGCTGCTGCTGCTGCTGCTGCTGCTGCTGCTGCTGATAATGATGATAATGATGGTGGTTCGACTCTCCCCACTGCTGCAACTGAAAACCACAACGCTACCACCCACGCCCCAGACTTCACAGAGGCAACACAAGGTGAGGCAGTAACCTCCAGTGCTGGAAGCATATACCCCCAACCTCTGCACGCACAACCTACAACGGCAAGTGAAGGATCATCACAGCCAGAGACGCAGCCAGCAGCGAAGGAGGAGGTGGAGGAGGAGGAGGAGGGGGAAAAAGAAGAGGCAAAATCGGCTTTCCTAGTAAAGAAGGTGGGGCAGGACGCAGGACCCACATGGGGTGTCCTTGCTTCTGGAACACCCCCAGCATCACTCTGCATGGTGGCCGTTGCAGCAGCGCTAGCACCAGCATCAACACCAGAAGCAGCAGCAGCAGCAGCAGCAGCAGAAGAGGCGATCCCTCACCCTGCCCATTCATCCCAGCAGGCACTTCCAAGAAGCTCAGCAGTAGGAGCGCCAGCAGGAGTGTTGAAAAGGGTGGATGAAGCTGAAGTTGAAGCAGAGGGGAAGGGGGGGTTTCGGAGCTATGTGCGGCAGCTGGTGATGCCTGCGAGTATGGCGTATGTGCTGCTGTGCTTGAATGGTGTTCTCACACCCGGGGGACTCATGACCTCCTACCTCACGCTCCATGGTTAGTGGTCACTCCACATGCATGTACGCACATACACACAGGGCTCTATGCACGCATGAACGCACATACGCATGCACTGCACAAACACGTGCACACACACATGCAGGCATTCTCACGCACACATGCCCCCACGCACGCACACACGCAGCGCCGAAAACTCCACCCGAACCCACTGCCAAGCTATACCCCAAACCTCGACCCCCAAACCCTGATTCTGGCAGGCGTGCACATGGGCGTGGTGGGCGAGTTCAACAGCGCGTGTGCCGCAATGGGCTTCGCAGCCACGTTGGTGTCGTCGCCCCTCATCGCTCGCTTCGGCGTTTTGCAGGTACGCTGGGAGAGGGAAGGGGTGCGGGCGGGCAGTGGGAGGGATGGTGTGTTACGAGATGAGCGAGCACTTAGATGACTATGGAACATGAGATGAAACAAGGATTAGACGCCGACGCTCTCTCGCTCCTCCTCCTAAACGCCCCCCTCATTCTTCTCTCGTCCTCTCCCTTCTCCTCTCCTCCGCATCTGCCTCTGAGGAAAGTACTCACGTCCATTCCTCACTTTGCCCTTTTTTGTTTCGATCCTTTCTCTACCTTCCTCTCTCTCCCTTCCTCTCTCCCTCTCTACCTTCCTCTCTCTCCCTTCCTCTCTCCCTCTCTCCCTTCCTCTCTCCCTCTGGTCCATCATCTTCCCAGGCCGGCAGTGCAGCGCTGATATATCAAGCGCTGCTGGTCTTCCTCTCGCTGCTCACCTTCTCGTCAATCTCGTTTGCGCCGCCTTCTCTGCACCAAGGCCTGCTGCTGCTCTTCCTCCTGCTAATCGTGAGTCTGCTGCTACAGAGAAACTTTTCAGAACACTACCTCCTATCATGCTATGCCTATCGCGGCACTTCTTATCGTGGCGACTGGAAGAGGGAGCACTGATTGAAAAGCGCCGAATCCCCAATCGCCCACCTCCCCGCCACCACCCCTATCCCCGGTCCATCCACCTGAACCTCGAGACAATGACACTGACACCAAGGCCGCCATGGCCAGGTCCAGGACCTTCGGGACGCCCAATGTCCATCAATTTCGAATCAGTTAGTAGTTTAAAGCCTAGATCTGTGATCGGACTGACGTTACGAGCTCAACGATACACTTCTTGTGTTCATACAGCGAACATTGTTATCGTTGGCTTATTGTCAGACAGTTTCAAGGCGCAAGCTAGCTTCGAGATTTCGTGTCCAAGGGATGTACCCGAGGCCTCAACCATTATCAATGTGACATCCTGGCGAAATGGGTCTTTCAAGGCGCTGCGACAAGTGTTCCAGGACTATATTTACCCCAGCAGAAAGAAGGTCAAACACAAGGCTACAAAGGAGCTTCCCGTGCTCAGTTGGCGATCAACGCTACCAGTCATTGAAAGGCTTTTTCAGTGGCTTCATCATCACACGATGGCTCCCCCGGAGGCTGATGTGCCTGCTGCTACTGCTGCTGGAGGCATCCTGGGCAAGAAGGGGTTGGAGCATGTCACGCCAAGGACTCTTTTCAACGGTGTCCAGGGTCCTTTCAACGCGGAAGTTGTTAACGTGGTGCCGGCTAAGGCGTCTGCGTTGCACGTCAATGGCCTGCAGGGAGAAGGGAGCGACATCCACGGTCCGTCAGATGCGGATCCAGAGAAGCGTCAGGCCTCGTCATCAGGAGCGCAAGAGAAGGCCAAGGGTGTGGCCAAGGATGCGGAAGAGGATGGGGGTTACCTCAGCGATGATCCCGATGAGTGTCAAGACCCGGAGGCGATCAGCGACATCGCGACGCAGGCTGGTTTCGCCATCACGCTTCTTGTCCCTTTCAAGTGGCACGAGGAAGTCCCGCGTACGATCGACACTGTCGGCGAGTTGCTCCGGCTGTGGGAGGGACACATGACGGGGAACGCAAAGGTCACGACCAAGTTTCACAAGCTGACGCCGGCGTGGCTCTCTAAGGAGCACTTCGGCCGTCTCCAGGTGGTGTTCGTTAATGCGGCGGATGCGAATTTTATGTGGAGCAGGAAGGTGGATCATTTCACGGCGTCCAACGTGCGGTTGACGCTCGGATGGCAGCACCCGGAAAATCAGGAGTACCTGAAGGAGCGTTCGGCGAGGCCAGAAGCCATTGAGGTGCTGCTGAAGAGCGTACCGGCGGTAATCTCCCCCGAGATGGTCAGGAAAAGCCTGGTGACGGCGACCCTGCTGAAGCGCAAGCGTACTGCATTCCTGGAGGGTTCAGCCTTTCATAGGGTGGTGGATCCGGTGACGGGGTCAGATACGGACAAGATTAAGGGGTTGGTGTTCCGCCACCCCGGGGATAAGTATAAGTGGTGGCATAAGGTGTCGGACAAGATCCACGGCACGGATCTGCTCGTCTCCTTCCCTTCGCTCACCTGCTCTTTTTGCAACGGCATGCACATGTCCTGTTTTCATGATGATTATGTGACGGAACGGCAGGACAATTTCACCAAGTGGAATGTGCCGCTTGCACGGGCGCATGAGATCAACGGTAATATCCTTACATCAAGTCTTGCTTTTCAGGCAGTGGTGGTTGAGGGTGGATCGACAGAAGCGGCTCACCTCTGTCTTACTCCCCTTTCGAGCAGCGGCCTCCCTGAAGCTGACCCCAGCTACAAAGGCCATCATGGAAGACCCGGCGATGGTGCTTACCTCCACCAACGGAGTGCGGGAGGAGTGGCTGTGTGTCCAGGAGGGTTGCGAAAAGGCGCATGGAGTCACCTTCGCGCAGGCAGCGGAACATGCGGCATCGGTCCGACACTGCACAGAGCGCCTCAAGGCGGGATCGGCGACGCGTCAGAGCAAGGGGAAACTGAACCTTCTGGCAGTCAGGAAGGCGTTCGGGATGTGATCACTCAGCGGCGGGCCCCTGACTGGAGCGGGTTCGGCGCAGTTGAGGGCTTCATGGAGATGGGAAGCAGGGAAGAGCAATGGCAGGGGAGTGTAGCATCAATGTTATCAACATATGTGTGTATGCAGTGCAATAAAGCCCGTGGATGCGAGGGGCTCGAGTCACGGTGGATTAATGGATAAACAACCCCAACTTACCATCTGCGGGGTCAACGTGAATGGCCTCGGAAGCAACGGCAAACGAACAAAGCACCGGACTTGGCTTAGGAGAGCGGCAGATGTAGTGGTGCTCTCGGACACAAGGATTAAAGAAGATCACAACTTCTGGAGTGAGATCAAATCAACGGCTTGGGCTACATCGAGCACGGACAAGGGTGCAGGAGGGGTGGCGATCATTGCGTTCAGAAGGCACTTACGGTTTACGGATGTTATGACCCACCACACGGGGAGGCTGCTTGGGGTGACGGTGGAAGGAGGCGAGACGTCATTTCGACTGATTGCGGCCTACCTCCCAGCGCAGCCGGGCAATCGGACGAAGTTCCATGCGGAGCATCTGGTCCCCTTCGCCCGTGCCCAGCCGGCGGGGATGCACCTGGTGCTGGCAGGGGATCTCAACATAATAGCGGACCCGGATATGGATAGGTCATCACACACGGGGACCAGCAAGGAAAACCAGAGATTTTTGGAGGCTTGGTCGGCGTTCGACCTCAAGGATGCTTTCAGGATGCTCAATCCCGGGGAGAGACAGTACACTTTTCACGCGCGGCATCGGACACCAAGACCAGGATTGATAGGGCTCTGGTGTCGACCTCGCTGCTCGGGCATCTTATGGAGGCGCGGCACGTGTGGGTGCCGAAGAAGCTGTCGGATCACCGCTTCGCGATACGTGTCGGCCTCGCCTTCAAATCGGAGCACACTGGCGGGCCGGGGATCTGGAGGTTTCAGGCGACAAGGGCAAATCGGAAGGGAGTTAGAGCGGTGATTCAAAAGGTCATGGGGGGGACGGAGGCGCAGCGCAGTCGGACACCGGTGCAGAACCTCGGGCGGCTCAGTGCTGCTCTGCGGGTGCACGAAAGAGAGGAAAGAAAGCGGGTTACGGCAACCAGGGAGCATCTGGAGGCTGAGGTCACGAAGCTGAACCACCTGGTCATGGCGGGCCCAACGGATGCCGGCATGAAGGAGAGGTTGCTGGCGAAGGAGGCGCAGCTGGAGGGTTATCAGGAAAGCGAGAGGGAGAGACTGCAGGTTTTGGCCGGGCTGGATCTGGAGCTACACGGGGAGGTCCCGTCGCCATACCTCTCTGCCAAAGTTAAAATAAGGAAGGACAAGACACTCATTAAGGAGGTTGAGTTCAAGGGGAAGCGCTTTCACGGCTCGCAGGAGGTGCTGGAAGCGGCTTCGGAGCACTTCCGGGACGCTTTCAGAAGCCAGGACGGTCAGAGCCTGCAAGAGGAGAGGAGCATTGAAGTGCTCAGAAGGCTACCTGAGGACGAGGCGGCGAAGCTGGGCGCCCCGTGGACGGAAGAAGAGGTGAAGGAGGCGCTGGAGGGTTTGCCGAGGGGCAAGTCGCCGGGCAAAGACGGACTGCCACCGGAGCTGTTCAGGATGCACGGGGATCTGCTGGGGGGGCCGCTGGTGGAGTTCGCAAAAAGTTTTGAAAGGACGGGGGTCCTGGACGAATCGATCACTACGGCGGTCACGGTTCTGCTGCACAAAAAAGGACCGACGGATTAGTTGGGCAACTACAGGCCCATCACTCTGCTCAGCACGCTGTATAAGGTGTTGGCAAAGTTGATGGCGAACAGGATTAAACGTGTCCTTCACCTGGTGGTGTCGGAGGAGCAGCACGGTTTCATCCCGGGAAGAAGCTTGGCGGACGCGGTGTCGGTGGTAGCAGACGCGGTGGAGGCGGCAGACAATGGGGGGAAGGATTGGTTTCTCCTCATGGTCGACTTCCAGAAGGCATATGATACGGTGGCGAGGCCGTACCTTTTTGAGACAATGCGGAAATTGGGAATACCGGAGGTTTTTATTAAGTGGACAGAAGGGTTGCATCGCGGCTCTGGGATGACGTTGGCGATTAATGGTTGGCTCGGCGAAAAGGTGGAGATGCAGAGGGGGGTGCGGCAGGGCTGCCCGCTGGCGCCGTACCTCTTCTTATGCGCGCTGGAGTCTTTGTGCCTGGAAATCAAGAAGAAGGGTTTGGGGGTAAAACCGGAGGGAGGAACGGAGTTGGCATATGTGGGATATGCGGACGACACAACACTCATCCTGGATGGGGTCGAGCAGCTCAAGGCGGCGTCAGAGGTTCTGGAGCGGTTTGGGCGGTTGTCAGGCCTGCGGACGAACACGGAGAAGTCAGTGGTTATGCCGCTGGGAAGGAACAAAGGGAAACAGACGGCAGAAGGGGTACCTTTTAAGTGGGCGGAAGCCGGGGTGCCGGAGCGCTTGCTAGGCATCTGGATAACGCCGGAAGGGGATGCGAGCCCGTCCTGGGAGAAGGCATGGGAGCGGGGAAAAGGGGAGCTGGCAAAGTGGGAGTGTCAGCACCTCCTCACAGCGGCAAGGGTAACGGTCATTAACGCGTATATTATGCCGATCTTCATTTTCCAAGCGCAAATATACCCACCGCCGGAGGAATTATGGAAGCGGATCCAGAAGACGTGTGACAACTACGTCTCGAAGGGTCAAGCCACGGCGGAGAGAATCTTCGTTCTGTGGAGCGGGGAATTGGCGCGGCTGCCAAAGAAGGAAGGAGGTTTGGGGCTGGTAGACCCCAAGGCGAGAATAGACAGCATGGCGGTCAGGATGGTGGAAAAGATGCTGGCGGAGAAAGACCCGACGAAAAAGTGGCTAGCGGTGAAAGCGGCAGCGTTGCCGCAGGGGGAGGCGACACTGTATGCAGACCCGTCAGCAGGGAAGCACTGGCCGGGGGGCAGCCGGCGCTGGAAGGCGGCAGTGGAGGCTTTCTGGGAGACCCCATATGCGCAGCTGCCAGAACCGGCGAGCGGCTGGGAGGTGGAGCAGGAGCAGCTGTGTTTCAACCGCAGGATTATGTACAGGGGGAAGAGTCCGTACGGCAATCAACAAGGGACGGAAGGGATACACAGAGTGAAACTCGGCGCGCTAATATCTGATGACATGGTAGGGGTGTGCACGGTGAAGAGCAAGGAGACAGTGAGGACGGAGCTGGGGGGCGTGGCAGCGGCCAGGTGGGCGTTGATGGCGCTTGCAGCGACGGCAAAAGAATGGAAGGAAGTGATTGCAGCGGGGAAAACGGCGGAAAAGTTGGTGGCAGTGGCGACAGTTGTCAGAACTTTCTTACCACGGACACAGGAGTACCTTTACTGGAAGGTAAAGGGGGTGGCGGAGGAGATGGTAGCAGTAACGAGCCTGGAGGTAACGAAGGACGGGAAGCTGGAAGAATGGGAGACACCGGTCGGGGCGACTTTCAGGCCAAAGCATGTGGAACCGGTAGCCACCAGGGGCGGCAGGGTGCTGGGAGCGATGGGGGCCCCGGCGACACGGCTCATGCAGACTAAGTTGCTAGATGATGACGGGGCGCCGGCGAAGATTAAAGTAATTAGGCGGGTGCTGGCGGGGCCGGTGACGACGTCTTGGAAGAGGAATGAGTGGGAAGCAGCGTGGGGGAGGAAAATAGACTGGAGAAAGGTGGAAAGCAAGAGGGACTCGTTGGTGACACCCATCAGGGCAAGGGATGTGCTGCTGAGAATGCACAATCTGAACCTACAGGTGGGCGGCAGGCTGAAATTCCTGGGGGAAAGGGCGCGCTGTTCACATTGCGGGGAGCCTGAAACCCTAGAACATTGCATGTTCAGTTGCCCGCTGGTCCAACCGGTGATCGGCGCGCTGCAGAGATCTTTGCAGTTGTTGGGCCAAGCGGGCAACCCGAACTCGCTCGGTGCGCTGCTTTTTGATGAGGGGGGCACGAAGTCAGGGTTTCCTGCGTCAACCTTAGTGGCCACAACATTCCGCCACATCTGGCTGGCGAGATGTGGCATGGTCTGGAGGGGGGAAGTTTTTCAGCGGAAGAAGGTGGCAAGAGGGGCAATCAGAGATTTCGCGCTGCATGCTCAGGTGTATCGCACGGAGCTGACTCGGAGAGCACGCAGGTCAGGTACAGCGAAGCAGGGGAAGGACCCGTGGCGAGATCTGAAGGGTGACGAGAGAGCGGCGGTGGCTCTACTCAGTGAGCCAGGTGAAAAGGCCACGTGGAGCGATGGGTTTCTCTCCATCTGGCGCAATCCCAGAACGATCAGGCAGCCCCCGTAGAAGCCTCATGGAGGGGTGACCCCGGTAGTGGCACTAACATGTTGGTACCAGGGTAGGTCCTCTCCAGAAAATCAGTTACGACTGAGGATGTATGCGCTTTTATTGTGTAATAATATTCAACAAAAAAAAAAAAACCCTTATCCCCGGCAGGTGCTCTCCCGTCCAGGCAACTAGACTTTCAAGATCGAGTTTTGAGTCAATTAAAAAACTCAAAACTCAAAGCTCACCTCTCCGCCACCCCTATTCTCCTCAGGTGCTCTCCCGCGTGGGCCACTGGCCATTCGAGATTGAGATTTGAGTCGACTCAAAGCTCACCTCCCCTATCAACCCCTTTCCCCACCTCGCCTCCACCCCTATTCTCCTCAGGTGCTCTCCCGCGTGGGACACTGGCCATTCGAGATTGAGATTTGAGTCGACTCAAAGCTCACCTCCCCTATCAACCTCTTTCCCCACCTCGCCTCCACCCCTATTCTCCTCAGGTGCTCTCCCGCGTGGGCCACTGGCCATTCGAGATTGAGATTTGAGTCGACTCAAAGCTCACCTCCCCTATCAACCCCTTTCCCCACCTCGCCTCCACCCCTATTCTCCTCAGTTGCTCTCCCGCGTGGGCCACTGGCCATTTGAGATTGAGATTTGAGTCGACTCAAAGCTCACCTCCCCTATCAACCCCTTTCCCCACCTCTCCGCCACCCCTATTCTCCTCAGTTG